GCTAACTGAAGCAACAAGATTATTTTCGGCATTATTTTTTTGCATTCCACCATGGAGAAATTACGTCTAAATTTAGACGTGTTGCTATAAAATCTGCCAAATGGAATTTCCTTATACCAATTCTGACCTTCGCGCCTTCAATCATTCGAGATGAGAAATTCGAGTAGGCAAGGTGGTCAAAGTCATTGTTAAAAAAAACGATTCGATGATTTTCGAAATGAAGCATAATTTTCTATTCCGAGCGCAGGAGTCATTACTTATATGATTCAACTGAGTTTTAAAAATAACGTAAACGGTGGCTTTTCGATGTATTTTTTTTGTGGAGATGCATATTACGTGCAGGAAATTGATGATCACCCACCATAGTCTATTTTTGCTTCATGCTGCGAGTACCACCTTGGGTTTTTTTCTTTTTATATAAAATAAATGAGTGTCAAAAATGTTCATAATTTTCTCGGAAATACCATTTCTATTATTAACTGCGAGGGAAGTGCATTTTCGCACCTGCTCTGTTAGCTTTTGACGAACTCTTCAACACTCATTAAAATAATAGGGATATTTTTAACATGACGGATGTTCATAATGGAATTCGAAAAATTTTTTTCTCGTCACCCTTTTGGTCCGTAGCTCAAAAACGGTTAATCTGAGGTTGAAAGTTCACGAAATCAAAAGGGAAACCAACTCAATTTTGAGTGTTTAAATAAAAATCTATTCTGATACGAGGATTTCCGACCCGCCAATCTACGCTCGAAGTTTTGCCCTCTTATACGAAGATCTCGAAAACGGGGGCGGAGGAGAGTACTCACAAAGGCAAAATAAATTGTCTGGATCAAAACATATCTATGAGATGTGAGGACGAAACGTAAGAAAATGTCGAAGGAAGGTACTCATAAACGGCGAGTGGAATGTCTGGACGAGTACCACTGGTGATGTGCAAGCTTAAGTGGGGAATATCTCGAAAATGTAATGCCGGAGAAAGGTACTTACAAGGGGTAATATTGCGGAGAATTTCTCGAGGGCTTGGTTCTTCTTGCATTATACAGGGTGTTAATTAATGTCTTGTAGATATTTTAGGGGGTGATAGTACTCAAAATAAGAAAAAATGCAAATATATGGATGGTCGCCGTTTTAGTTGTACAGGGTGGCAAAGTTTTAATTTTTTTTGTATTTTGAGTTTCCTCTCTTATGTTCTGTGATAACTGTTTCAAATTTGATACATTAATTATTTTTTAAAATCTGTGCAATAAACTATTAAAATAGTTGGTCGCAGTATATAGGGTGTTGCATTTTATTTGCCACTCTGTATTTTGACGAGTACTATCACCCCTTGAAATATCTGCATGACATTAATTAGCGCCCTGTATAACGTAGGTATTGAATGTGTACCAAGTGGTCTTTAAATGTTTATGTGTAAAAAACTATCCCTTCTCATTAATCATCTACCAAGAAGCTAAACTTACTATTTACTAAGCTCTTAAAAATAATGCACAAGAGTTGTGCCCAATTTATACTTATTTATACTTTATTACGAATGTTCTATACCTATTTCCAACAGTTTACGGTTATCGGTAACACCAACTATGTTATTCAATGTCCAAAAAAATTATTAGGGAACGATACTGCGTTCGCACCTCCAGATTCAGCACGGGGTCTTATGGATCAAATGCATCTTATTTATTTGCGTCATTCTTCGATAACGCTATCTTTTTTCCTCAAAGCAATGATGCCAAACTCATGTAATTGAATTGAAGTATTAAAACACAACATAATTTCCTTGTACAGTCATTGTCTTGTCACGTTTGCTAATAAGTTTGGCAATCATCCACTGTATGTCCATAAGCACCATACAGCATCTGGAGGTACGAACGCGCTATTTTTCTTGCATAAATAATTATGTATTTTTGTATTGTTATTGTTTAATATTTATAATAAATTACGAGTATGATTATGAATATCAAAATATTTCGAAAACCTTTGGAGGTAGGTATAGGACATTATTAATGTATATTAAAGATCCGTGATTAGAGCCCCCCCCCCCTCTCCCCCACCTTTTGCGCAGATACACATTCCTGCGGTTTCCATTGGATCCATTCTCCCTAGCATGAATACCAGAATACAGAGAGCATGTCTCAGGATACCCGTCCGTCAAACCCAATTGCAGGTTTAAACCTCAACAGTGCAAACAGAAATGTAAGCGCATTTTCGAGTAGAAGTGGAGAAGGAAAGTCAACAAAGCCCAACTAGATTAAACTAGCCCAATTCTACCCTCTGCATCTACCAGATATTGGTAGTATATCCATCCTGAGGAAGGTCTCCAAGACCAACTTCGGACTAAAGGAAGTCGCACGATCAACTGGGTAAGCTAAAAGCTAACCAGGTGGACACGTTACAAAATTCCCTGCTCAAGGTTATTGACCAGTAGTACCTGTTCGCCTCCACTGGCGGAACTCAGGAGAGATCTTGAGGATGTTGTACGAAATGGACGATTCTCTGGATGAATGGAAAAGATGGTTGGCAACCTCCCATCCAGTTCTTCTTATTTTGCCAGGCACAAATCCATTCACCCAAAAGGGCGGTTAAAACTTAGGAGATTAGTACGTACGTTTGAATCCATTGTCAAAAGAGGCGTATTTAGCGTTATAGGGATCCCGAGCTACGATCATGAACTTAATAAAAATGGTTAGAGGGTACCTTAATTAAGCGTTTTCAACAACAGAAAATTGCGGAAGAAGTCCTAAATTTTCAACAATCTTAGTAAAAAGTTCCCTTACTTTCATCGAAATGTGATGTTATGTTACTTCATATGTAAATAATTCGTAATGGTCTATTATTCTTAAGTTCCCACACCTGAAAAATGTGTAATTTTCAAGTGAGCTTAATTTTTTGTAAGAGGTTATGCTAGCTGCTTCGTCTATTAAATTGAAATATGCTGGGTTTAACGTGTATATATTAACAGTTAAAAGTAAAGGTAGTATAATACGCATAATAAACAATGGAATTTCAGGATATACACTTGAATAAAACAACTTTTGAAAAAAGCATACGGACTAAACTTGAACGCATTAGAGAAGAAGAACGTCGTAGAGAGGGTTACATGTTGCCCTTTCCCTATCGACCACCTTTTACACCCGAAAGGGAAAGGGGCACCTCTCGCATCTTCTCGTATCGACCGCCTTGAACACCCGGAAGGGGAAGGGCAGCTCCCGCATCTCCAATGGGCCGCCTTTTTCGTATCGACCGCCTTGAACACCCGAGGAGAGAGGGGGACTTTTGGCATCTTCCTCACACTCCTCTTAGCCCGCGACAAAATATTGTAACATGCTGTTTCAATATAAATATTCACATTTGACGGCCAGATCACAGTCAAAACATGTTCAAGAGAAATACACGCTACAATAATTGACCGCGCCATGAACGGACCGCAATGACGGATCCAGAGAAACTTTTGAGGGGGGGGGGCACTTAAAAGAGTTGACGATTCTATAGATATTACAAATTCAAATATTATGTTTCGGTAAATTGTAATTTAGCTTCCCCTAAGTATATCGATATGATTATAGTTTTCTTAATTTACTTTTTTTCGAGTTTGTATTTATATTAGCCTTTTATAACAAGAAAGTGACAATTACATATAACCAGACTGAATGCATTTTGAGGTTGAACGAATGTGTTTTTCACTTATCAACTTAAGGTTCCTCATCCCGTTTTACTAACCTGTATTTTCTCACAGGAGGATAATTAAGAGATTACCGTTTGGTTAATAAAAAAGTATAAAATCTTCTTCTTTTAGTTATCTTGTCCTCAAAAAAGAGGGTAAGAAATTTGACCGATTGCATCATAGACGTTTGGACGGTACGGGTTTCTTAGGCTGATCCATAGGATCCTAGGTCCATAAGCTGGGAGTTGGGACATTCAACAAACACAGCGACAGCCAGCAATATTCTTACGGAATGGTCTGGCCTACAGGCAAAGAGCACCAGGAAGCAACCCGGCAGTTCCACAGAAACGAGTGCCAGTACTGCAGCATCTACGCCAACTACGGTCCCGACCGTAGGTGCAGAAATGATGACAAGCTCACCGGAAAATGACGAAAACTCCTACAATCATGGACTGGTCGGCGGTCGCCATACCCCGGACGCCCTTGCTGGAATTAACGCATATTGGAGGGGCACCGAGATGGCCAACATCCACATCCACGATCTACAAACCCACGCCCCAACAAGGAATCACTCGGTCTTAACACCGCCAAGAGAGGAATTGTTACCTCAACCTCAGCATCCGCGCCATGAGGGGCGGAGCCACTGTTTACCGTTGATCTGAGATAAAGTAGCGACACTGAATAAAAAGGTAACCCCCCTGCCCCCAGCCCTGAAAGACATTTGAGTTTGTCCTAGTCTTCCATACTCCAAGCAAGTGGCCGACACAGGATGTTTGGACTCAATCAGCCCCAGCAGTCCCCTCGGACTTGGATCATTCAAGGGAATTGTATGTTTTTGGAAATTGAAATGATTCTCAGGTACACCTGACCTGAAACGTATTGCATCTAAAGTGTCTATTGCTTAAAGTTCTATCGAAAGTCTTTACGACTGTTTTTTTGTAATGGTCAACCCCATTAGTTTGAAGTATGTGCAAAACAATGTTAGGGTTGCAACATGAAACGGTTCAACCTTTTATCTTTCGCATTTCAAGAACTAAGTATTTCCATTTTGTTTTTTTTGCACACGTATACTTCATTTGAATTGTTTAGTAAAATTTTCATACCTACAAGTACAACCATCTATTTACATGTAATACAAACGCACCACCGTTTCCCAAGCTCTGTAACTATTTCTACACGAGTGCAGTATGTGAAAACTACAATTAATTTTATTCCAACTACTACGTTACCTTTTTAATAGAGTTAACAGGTCACTACTTTCTGCGACAACAAGTGTTAATAGATCTCCAACAGCTATATTAAAGGGTTAGAAAATAAGTAGTTGAGTTGTCATCTGAAAGCGTTTAATAAGAGAACAAAACAAATCACAATAAATACTGTATAAATAATAATAAGTAACAAACATAGATCAGCAAAACCAAGAAACTTTACCCAAAAGATACATATACAGTAAGATGAAAGTTGGAGTATACACGAAAGGCTTAAATTTAATAACTAAAAGGTAAACTAGAATAACACTATACGTTTTTTTGCGAAGCATCCAAGTAACCGTTTAGATTCACTAATTAGGCACATGCGAATTTTTTTACATTACTTGATACAGTCAATTAGTCAATCCTCCATTAAATCCAATTAAACAAACAAGGCGAGAGAAAGAGAGTGCGCAACTAAACCACGAACTATCTTCACTTTGTGCAAAAAAGCTTACAATGTTTCGGCAAGCGTTTTTAGACTAGACGTGTAAAGTGCATATTCCTCCACCCCTTACTTTATGTACTGGGAACGGCGCTCACCTGGAACTTGTAGAGTAGCTGTCGTCCCGACGGCTCCGATTTGGTTTGACGCGGTGCAGGTGTACGAGCCGGCGTCTTCTGCAAGTTTGTGTTAGAAGCTGTTTGCAACAAGGCGCGCTTACCTGGGTAGGCAGTGGGTATGGTAAGACGACAAACGCCGTTCCTGTAATGGATTTGCAGATCCTTCGAGTTTTGAATTATTCGTCCATTTTTCGACCAAAGTACTGAAGGTGTAGACTCCGATTGCACTATGCACTCAAACCTGGCGGATTGACCACTCACAACAGCTATGTCACGCAGTGGCTGAAACAAACTTGTTAATCGTACGCACTTGCAAATTGGCAGAGGTTTACAGTTATGATCATAGGGGGCCGTTTCGGATGTGCAGTGTTTTGTTCTCGATTCACTGGTGTGGTTGGCGCACTCGAGTGGTACTCGGCACTTCTGATACCTACAACATGCAGGCATTAGAATTATAAATCGGGGTATTTGTTATTGTTCAGGCATAGAGCACATCTTTCTGATTAAAAATTTTATTATTTGTAAGATGCCTTCCGCTCCGTACTGTTAGTCAGTCCAAACGGCATGCGAGAAATACGTGAACGAAGACGAGAGGATCAAGAAATATGTGGCGAAATGACATTCGTGAGTTGGAATACCGATGTCGAAATATCCAATATTGTGCTCATTTTTTGCTGTATAATACAAAGTTTTTCTTTGTGCCCTTCAAAAATTTATGAGGCAAAAATATAACACAAGCAGGGCACAAAATTTTAAAACAATGGGTGGGGTCGAAATCTAAAAATATGAATATCTCAAAAACTATGAGCAGAAAAATCTCCACAATACAGTAACATATAGCACTAAATGAGCAAACAATAATTGCATATATACCTCGATATCGTATTCACGGACGTAGGGTGAAAGGTTCAACAGCACAACACCTGCCGTTCTGAATGAGACCAAGAGACAATAGTGTTAGAAAAAGAAAGAACTAACTTTAACTGAGCCTGCAAAAGCGTGGAAAAGTCAGCGAAGCGCACACCCAAAACGTTAGTGAACCGTAATCGGCTACCTGCGTTAAAAGCAGGAGAAGTACTCGGCAGACTGGGAGATATCGATACGGGACTAGTAGACGATTGCTCCCAACGAGGACTCAAATATCTCCTCTTTGCGTCACTCTCATACTCGGACATCTCACTTTCAGAAGTGGGATCCCACTTGACGCTTTTATGAGTCGAAGTCTTCGACGGCCGAAAACTGGGAGTAGAATGGCTACTTTCGTGGTAGACCGGCATCTCAATGTCTCCTGTGCGTTTGGGTGGCTCGATTATGGTCTTCTTCGGAGTCGGTATCTCGCCGCCCTTACTTTGGCCGGGCAGAACGATACCGAATTCGTAACCGAAGTCGTATTTGAAGTAAATTAACCCAGTGTCAGGGTCCACGTGTTTAGTACCTAAAGGGTAGAAGCGTACATCGGTTAAAATACCACCACCTGACAGAAGGAATTGGCGAATCGTCCTTACCGTGCTGGGCGGCCCTTGTTTCCTCCCTGTACACTTGGGGGCTGTCTTCAGTTGATTTCTTATTTACATCAGTCATAATATCGCTAACGAACTTTTGCGCTTTGGACTTGAACGTGTGCGTCATGTTCTCCATGTTCTTAGAGGCTATCTTTGTGACCGTCGCCGGGGAGTAACTGTACTGTGGTGGAGGGCCTGGTTTTAGAGGTTGGACGTTCTTGCTGTGACTATTCATAACTGGTGGTTGAGTGTCGAATTCCATGGGCGAAATAATTCTCTCATTCTTGACAGGTTTGATAAAGTGCTTCGAGGGAGGTACTACCTTGCGATAACCGGGAAGGTCGTTGTCGCCCTCCCCAGGCACCCACACGGACTTGATTCGCGTATTCTCAATCTCGCTGTCGTAATCGCTTTCCCTCATTTCTCCCTTGACGAATTTCGTTGGGGTCGCTGGAGGTGGGACTCTCTGCTTTTTATCTTTGCCGAACGTTATGACTTTGCGAGTCTGCTCTAGACTAACGGTGCGATGACTCGTTTCCGTTGACTCTTTGAAGTGCATCACGTTTGACGTTTCGGTTTGCACAGCGTTCTGGTACGGTGCACTTGTCGTCGACCGGTAGTACTGCGTGGTTTTGGGGGCGAAACCGATTTCGGGTGGTGTTCCGGGTTTCGGTACCGCCGGTTTGGCGACGATCAGTTCTATTCCCGGTGCGGATTTGGGTGTGACCGGTTTTGGTTTGTGAACGACCTGGGAAATGGACGACTTTTGACTAAGTGTTTCGCTCAGCTTCGTTGCGGCGACCGGTTTCTCGATCGGCTCGAATTTCGGCCGGGGCGGTCCGCTGAAATGCGGCGGTTGGTCGAATTCGGTTGGAGGCGTGGGGCTGCGAGCACCAGTTTGCGAATGCCGTCCGCTTGGGGTCAGCACGGGTCTCACTGGTTTATAGCAGCGGTCCCCACCGCCCCACACCGAACTCATTCGGCCTTCGTAATCACTTTCGTAATCGCTTTCGCGGAATTCGCCCTTTACAAATTTGGAGGGACTAGGCGGAGGTGGAGCTTTCGGCTGTTTCGGTTTGGGCGGATCTGGTTTGTAGGGGAAGGGTTCCAAGCTTGAGTCCCGATCACTCTTATATATCGTCTTACTCTTGGTCGAAACACTAGTAATAATGGGCGTGGCGACCAGCTCCTGTAAAACAAATTGGCACTTAGACTCGCAGCTTGAGGTGCCCTGGCGAAAAGCAGGTGAACATGCTGATAGTGCGAAAGAAAAACAAAATTAAGTGAATACGACAAACATTCACACAATCGAACCTTCTTTTGTGCTGAAGATGCCGGAGTATGTTTCCTGTAAACTTTAGGAGTGGTTGGTTTATTTATGGATTGGGATTCATAAGTCATTTTCTGACGGGAGCTTTCGGAACTGGTGGAATAAAACTCCTGCCTCAAAGTTTCATCTTGCCTATGCTCAAACTTGGATATTTTCTTTCTCAGTGTAAATGGCTCGTCTGTGTCGGCCATGTAGCCGTCCGCACTCGACTTTGGTTTCACTTTGGGAGACTCTGGCATGTACTTCACTTCGGATTGCACATACTCGGGAGGCGTGCCCGGTTTTAAAAGCGGTGGAGATACCTCGCGCTTCTGCTCGAACTGTTTCCTTATAAACGACGTGCGCTGTTTTCGCAGCTCTTTATCCTCAACTGAAACGCTAGAGGTAAACACTGGGGGTTGCGTATAGAATGGTCTTTCAAATGGAGGTTCGACGGATTTGGAACGAACAGTAAATTTGGGGGCGTTCACATGACGATAAGCCGGTTCCTCATTGTCGCTAGTGCTCGGCTTCCACCTGACGGCCATCCTGGAGGTGTCAAGGTCGCTTTCGTAGTCGCTATCTGTAAATCTCCCCCTCGCAAACTTGGAAGGTGTAGGTGGAGGTCCCGGTTTTACAAGTTGCGGTTTCGGAGCAGCGGGTGTAAATAGCATCGGTGGTGGCGCAGATTTCTTCGGTGGTGCAACTGGCTTGTATGGTCTCGCGGGTACAGGTGGGGGTTGGGGTTTCTCCTGTTTAGGCGGAAGAGGCGGGGGAACTGAACGAAATTGAGGCGTACTTGGAGCCGGTGCGAATCCTATCTCCGGAGGCGGTCCCGGCTGTAAGTACACCTCGTCGGTGATATCCTGAACTGAAGCCGGTCTGATAGGAATTGTCTCGATTTTGTAGGCGGGTTTCGGTTCCTCAACTTGCGATGGTGGCGGCCAAGATTTGATTATTTCGGAAGGCTTGGCGCTGTGCTCGTAAACGATATTTTCGTGGTGCATCTCGCTAGAGCTGCTCTCCATCGTCGCGTAACCGGTTTCGTGAAGGTCAGTCACTTTCGCAACGTAGTGCATGACCGGTGTCGGAATGACTTTGCTCTCCTTGTACACGGACTCAGTCTTGGTGTGGACGGGAATCCACTTCTTCTCCAACGTGGTCTGAGCGGACCAAGATTTGCTTTCCTCGGGCCACGTATGCTTGTGCGTCTCCGACTTGTGAGCCCAACTCTTCTCCATCGCCCGCCCTTCGGCGGATGGTTCTGAAAGCGACGAGATCGGTCGAGTAGGTAAAGGCGAGCTGACAAGAAGCGTCCTATCCGGCTCCTTGTGCGGCGTCCAAAGCTTTTCCATCTCTAAGGCCTCGGCGGACGGCCTCGGCGAAACTGGTCGCATGGGAACTGGCTGGGTTTTTGAGTAGGAATAATCGTGCTTCCTAATCTCCTGATGCTCACTTCTGTACACATCCTGTTTGGGAGTAAAACAAATTTCTGGCGGTGGTTCCGGGGTTAAGTTAAAAGGACTTGGTTGTGGATGAAACGAAGAGAAGGAATGATCGATGAGTTTTTCCGAAGTTTTGATTATAGGTGGAGGGTGATAGTCTACCTTGGTGGTATCCTCAAACTTGGTGTAAATATCAGATTGAAGGGGAGTGCCCTTTGGGAGTTCCTTGGGTACCGGCTCTTCGTGCTCTTTCATTTTCTGCACAAAATAATCTAATGAAGACTGCTTAGATATTGAGGTGGTTTCAATTCCGGTACTTTCCGGTTGAGGTGGCTGAATGCTTATTTTCTCAATGGTGGTTGGAATTAATGTCTCTTTGTGATCAATTTGGTGGAAAGGTGCTGGTGAAAAATCGGCTGTGTTGCTTTCCATCTTAAATGTCTTAGACTCTTTTGACACTGTCGTTTCTGTTACTGTGGAATATTGCGCTTGAGCGGAAGACTGTGATTCAGATATGTGACTTTCAGTTGATATGTAAGATGCGGGAGTACTGGGCCTAAGGGAAATCATACTAACAGGTGCAGGTTTAGAAATTTGGATAGGGACGGTTTTGGGTTGTGGTGCTGAGTAAGTTTTCTTTGATTGTTCTGCAGCCTGCGCCTTTAGAATTTGATCAATAAGAGTCGTTGCGATAATGTGGTACTTACCAAAGTTTCGTGCTTGTGCACATCTTCAAATACAACCGTTTTGACCACTTCCACCATGGTATCCGGGGTTGGTTCGAACACTGCAAAGTCAGCTATACTTTGGGCCTCTCCTCCATCGTTTACTGCCTTGACCATATATTTCCCAGTGTGACTGAAATCAGCTACGCACAACAATGAGAGGAACCTTAACCCAGACATCACTTACCATTTTCGATTATTAAAGTATGCGAGTTTCCTTGAACCAGTATTTTGTACGGTTGAAGCAGCACCTCCTTGATCGGCTTATCGTCTTTAAACCAAGTCACCGTTGGAGTTGGAGTACCGGTGACCTCAACATCCATGTGCACCCGATCGCCTTTCTTCACAACTTGCGCTTGAAGTCGTCGACCGAAAACTGGAGGGAAAACTGTTTCTAAAAGTGAAACGCTTACCAAAACTGCATTTTATTTTTAAATCTCTTACTTCTGACTACCAAATCTGATGTACTAACGGCCGAACCAGCTTCATTAACCGCCGTACACGTGTAACGACCACCATCACTGGTACCCACGTCCTTAATCTCCACTCTGACCCTGTTGAGCTCGTAGGATACCGTAATTTTACCACCACTAACCAACGGGACACCATTTTTCTCCCATTTAACGGTGGGAGTCGGGCTCCCGTCAATGATACCTTCCAACAGTACGTCAACGCCTTGGTCGACGATTTTCCCCACAATTGGACTGGTAAATTTCGGCGGTCTCGTTTTTCGCTGAACCGGTAAATGCGATGCGGATACCGTAGTCTCCTTAATCTTACTTGCTTCTCCGATTTGAACCGTACTCATCGAGTGTTCTTGAATGACGCCGGGTTCCCTTACCTTGTGATACTCCTCCCTGAAGTGAGACTCTTGCACCTCGGGGGTCTGTTCGTTCACCTGCTTTATGGTTTGCGAGTCTTTAGCGATGTATCCATGCGTCTGCACATCCGGTTCGGCCGTACCACTATTTGTAACAACAGTACTCTTTGAGGATGTAGACGACTGTACGAACACCTCCCGTTTTGAGCTGTACGAAGCGGCATCAACCAGTTCTTGAGCGGGCACTTCTTTGGGCTCCCCCATGACCGTTTGACCAGGCTTCACCGACAAAGTGGCCGTACAAATTGCCTTCCCCACCTCGTTCTCAGCGATGCAAGTGATCGTACCGGAATTCTCCTTTGTCAGATTCGTTATGGTTAAAACCTGTCTTTCGCCAGAAGTCGACACCAAGAACGCTTTCCCAGATACAGCTTCCTCGTTAAACAACCACTTCACTTTCGGCGTGGGTTTCCCAGAAACTATGCACTCGAACTTGATCGTGGTATCTTCGAAGGCTTGTCGGTCTGAGAACAACTCCTTAAACTGAGGAGCTGTCTTAATCTCCTCATACTCCTTAGCTTCCGTCGGCTTGAATGACTTGACAATGAGCTGCGCGAAGCACTTGGCGTCACCGTTCGAATTGCTCGCCTTGACCGTATAAACGCCTTTGTCTTCGGGTAAAATTTTCTCAATTTCCAACTTGACTGTTCCATCTTCATCGTAACTCAGCTTGTAGTGCTGGTTCAATTCAATGTCATCGTTATTGAGCAACCATTTCACACTAGGTCTCGGTTCGCCGACAACGTTAGCTTCGAACACAACTCGGTCTTCTTCAGACGCCAAAACGTCCGACAGCAGCTTGTTGAATTTTGGCGGGGAACCTGTCACCTTCTTTTCCTCCTGGGTGTCTTTGGGTGCGGTATCGGTCAGTGGGGTTACCGTTAACGTGCACTTACTGGAAGCTTCTCCGGCCGAGTTCAACGCAACCACCCTGTAATCTCCCGCGTCTTCTGCGAACGCCTCCTGGATTATAAGCGAGCAACGGTCCCCTTGGAATAAAAGCTGGAAATCCGCCGATTCTTTGACCGGTTTGTCGTTGTGGTACCATATCACTTCCGGCTCTGGCTGTCCAACAATCACGCAGTCGAGCTGTACAGTTTTTCCATCGAACACGGAAATGTCTTTTAACGGAACTTGAATGGACGGTTTGATTGGCTCCATATCGCTTGCCAATTCCGAATCGGAAGTTTCAGTCGGTAGGCGGCCTTTAACGGTGACGTTGCACGTACTTGTGGATTCCCCGACGTCGTTTAGCGCCGTTGCGACATAAGTCCCGGCATCTTTAGGAAAAGCTTCAGATATAACAAGTGTGTGGTGATTGTCCTCGCTTTGGAACTGCAAACCAATTTATATTTAGACCGCGACTTGTGTGAGCTATCTTATATTATTAATTTTAAAACGCGGACCTGACCCTATTTTCACCGTGGTTCCTCGGATTACTTTTTTTTTCTTTTCAGTCACAAATGTATTTTGGTTAGTAACGGGCTAAATTTACATTTAAAGGTGTATGATAAAATAAATTGCTGATAAAGTGGGATTTTTGCCAAATTGTGGTGTGAATGCTCAGAGTGAGGTGGGTGCACTAAAATGTCACAGGAATAGAAATTCTCGAAGTTTTTAAGTGAATGAACCTAATTATTCGATTGTGCCCAAAAGTCAAAAGGTACGCCTGGGTCTAATTTATAAATAATAGTTTGACCTACCTTAAGTTCTCGCGTTTCCTTCACTGGCTTCCCGTTGTGTGACCACGTTAAACTGGGAGTGGGCAATCCTGAAACCTCGCATTCCAATTTAATCTTCTGTCCCGCTCTCGCCATAACATTAGAGAGAGGGATAGTGAAGAATGGATTTTCGGTTTTCTCCCACGGCTCCACGCACAGATTTGCGGTCGTCTGAGCCATTCCGACTTGATTAGTCGCTTTGCAGGTATAATCCGCTTGACAATCTAAATGTATTTCATCAAATCTCAAAATAGCCTCTCCGTTATTGTACGTAATGCCATAATCTGGACAGTTGTCAATACATTCGCCATTTTTGAACCATTGGACGGTCGGTAGCGGATGGCCCTCAACCAAACACTCGAATTGAAACTTTTGGCCTTGCTTCGTGAACGCCGGTTCGAGGTGCTTTACAAATTTCGGGGGAATCAACTCTTCTGGAGGATGACTTTCTTTAACGGTTAGTAAGGCGCCAGTCTCGGCCGTTCCAAGCCGATTGGTAGCTTTGCAAATGTATTTAGCGGAGTCCTCTGTAAATGTCTCCTCGATTGTCAAGGTGCAGGTCCCATCTTTAAAGGAGGTTTGATAGTCGGGATTATTTCCTATTGCAATGCCATCTTTGTACCAAATGACGGTGGGTGTCGGATTACCGATTACTTGGCAGATGAAGGTGAACTTGGAGCCTAAAAAAAATCGTCTGTCAGGTTTATTGGGTAAATGTATAGTAACGTTATCAAAAGATCGTGGAGACTGTGGGCCAAGTACATTGGTTGTACCTACTGTGGTCCTGCTGAGGCAAATAACCATAACTTCTGAGAGTGGTTTATTAACTAATGCACAGTATCAAATTGGTTAAACACAGTCTACAGTGAAACCTAACTTCTTCAGTATTTATCGTTAGAGTTTTGATTATAATCTTTGTTTGTGTTTATTAACTACCCATATTCATTTTGGAACTTTTGCTTTTTCTACATTTTGGTAATTCACATGCTGATTATTATTTTTATTTCCATTATATTGTCGATGTTTCTACAGCTATACTATTACTACTCGTATTTGCTTTTGAAGTTCTCTATCGATTACGGATTATGCTGACTACCTTAAATTTTCATTTATTTGAGTATACCATATTTTATGTTAATGTTGTTTGCGTAATATTTCAATTCAGGATTTCATTTTTTTTTGTATTACTTTTCATTTGTTTAAACCTTTACTTTTGATTGCATATATTCAACATTTTTATTTAATTTAATGTGTTAATCTTTTTCTTGCGTGCAATTTTCTACCACTCACAATCAATCTTTCATTTTCGGTACCTTTTTTAAAAAATAATTGTGTATGTCACTTTCTTTCATCATTTAATTACGATATATTATTTTAATACGTTAATTTAAAAAGTAGGAGCAACGTCAGTCGAGACAGCTTCATCAACTGTGTTCATAAACAGTGTATGCACAAGATCGGGAGGGACTACATGTGATCATTTTTTAATTTGTCTTGTGAAATTGTGAATTACACAGACACCTTAGATTTTTTTAAATAAACCACTGTAATCCATAGCTACGTCCGTTTTTAAAGAAATATTATTTTAATTAAATATCACTCAGTATGCATCCACTTCTATTCAATTTTTTTTATTTTTCCCATCACATACCTACGGGGCAAGCTATATTATATTATTGTATCACTTAGCACAAGCCACTCTTCTTCGTTTTGATTATTTTTATTTGTTTTTGGTTTTTTTGATTTTCCACAGTTTTATCTTTCGTGTGGTTTATTTCTTTTCATTGTTATGCTTTTTGTAAACCTTGTTTTGTAATATCGTGAATTTTGGCAAAGAAACTTTTTGAATTGTTGCATATTTTTTCATTTCTAGTATAATCTTACCATTCAAATTTTACTTGAAATTGTGGATTAAGAAATATGTTTAATTTAATTTAGCATTTCTTTTGAATTTTTCGCTTTACTTTTTTGTTTGATTTTCTCAATTATTTTTATTAGTTTGAATTTTAGCATTTTTAATTTTAAAGCCTATAACCATTAACCTTCGAGCTACATTCTTTAATATTTTGTTGTTTTTCTTATGTTACATTTTAATTCTCAGTATCTCGCTTCCATTTTTCCGTTTTGCATTATTTGATTTGGAAATGTTTCGATTTTACAATTCCTCACATTTCTAAATTATTTTACTCGTGGTTCTCTTTTTAAACATTGTTACATATTAACTATTTTTTGATTGGAAAAATTCTTTTACATTCTTACATTCTCTTACATGCTTTGCCCGTTTTGACTTGATTATTTTTTATAATTACATATTATTTATTTTTCGTATTTCACGAATATTTGACAAACAAAAAGTGGACATTTATTCGGCAGGGGAAACCGGGGATGGTTTGGACACGGGGTTACAATGGGCAGCTTCAAATTTCCCGCCCTACTGTTAATTGTACTGCCAAAATTGATTGTACAACATATTGACTTTGTGTACTTTTTGGCAGGTTTTTTTTTGTAACATACTTTAATGTTTTTATTTTTGTCGTTCCATTTGCATGTGGACGTTCTTGTTTTGGGTACAGTGGGCTGAAGTAATGACGGGTCGTTAATTAGTAATCAAATGTTCATTTCTATTCATTTAATTAATCTGGTTGAGGTTTTTTTATATAAACACAAAATGATTATTGCCTGTTTATTGTAGCTTGTATCTTTGTTTATTTGTTTCGTTGTAAAAAGTTTATTTCCAAGAATTGTTAAGTTTAGGGAATGTTTATCGCTCATGACAGTTCAGATTTGATTTATTGGGCACTTCGTTTATTTTTATAAAAGGTTAATTTAATTAAGTCGAGATGCAGTTAATCGGAAAAGACTTGGTTGTTTTCGTAGAAAATTGTTTAGATAATTCCGCGTAAATTCTGCCTGCGTGACTGCAGAGAGCGTACTTCTGCAGAACGTATCGAATCGGCACCTGAAGAAGCAGGCACTCTTGTGGATCCTTCCATTACAATGAGCTGTTCAGGTTCAGCAGAGATTCATACGCCAGTTTCCTACACCAATTCCTTCTACAGATCGGTGCAACTAAAGTTTTTTGTTTCATGCACTGAATTCCTATCCAAAAGCTAAGCCACGGAAATTAGGAGAAGGCGGGCGTGGGAAGAGTGTGATCGCCACAGACACACCGGAAAAGGAAGAATTCGAACAAAAGGAGACATTAAAGATGACAAAGAAGGTCAAGCATGTGAAGAAGAAAGAATTTAAAGAAAAGAAGAGATTCATCGGATGAAAACATGGGAGACGTCACCTGGAAGAATTCTTCTTCTGAATGGGAAGAGGATGAACGTTAAGATGTTCCTGTCGTTCTGGAGTTATGGAGTCCGGGCATCACTCTTGCGCCGTGAGAGAGACCGTTGGAAGGGTGCGCTTTCGGCACCTGGCGGGTACTACGCGTCTTGCGTTAGATTCAGTCATTACCCCGTCCCGAAACGTATTGCTTTACCGAAAAACAACATCGCGCACGAAGTTTACTCACTCCGCAGCCCTCGGAAGCGATCGCGCCGCACCGAAAAAAAATCGAGAGTTACGCAGCCATAACGGCTACTGATTCTGGAAGTACCTACCACCTGGCCGAATATCTTGTCCTTCATGCACCCATCCTTCCTAATGCCCAGTCGGCGGTTAAGATTAAGGAGTTAGGCTATTTTCTTAATTTGCATATTATGTTTAATAAAATTATTCATTCATTAATTTTGTTTTTCTTTTTTTCTGTTCTTTATTATTCGATTTACACTTACATAGTATAGGTTCTTGTTTCTTTGGTGTATCTTGGTAAGTTAATCATTCTTTCACTTTATCTTTGCTTATATTTCGCAATTTTTTCCTAAAGGTAGGAAGTAGGCGATAACTTAAAAAGTGGAAACACTAAAAGTATCTTAACTGTTTAAATAGTCTGTGTTTTAGATACGTTTATTTTTTCCATTTTTTAGTTATCGCCTACTTCCCACTTTTAAAAATTGCATATATACCTACTTTTTTAGTTTATTTATTTAGTTTTTTATTTATTACTATTTTTCACTGCGTGTAATTAACATTTTATTTGTGTATTGATATTTTCTTTAAATTTTATATCTTTGTGTGTGGATCAGTTAAATGGGAAGAGCTTTCATAATTTTACTAATCTTTTTAACTTTCTTTAATTTAAATATTTTTTTTATTTTTTAACATTTTTATTTAGGGAATTCGTACTTAATCGATAACATTCGCGAAATCAAAATATTGAAACCCCTTTTTTTGCGTGATTTAATTTTTGTTTGCATTTTTATATAAATATTTTCAGTTTATCGCGTATTTTCCAAAAGGCACTCTTTGAATTGTTTAATTTTATTTCTCTTTTCTTGGTGCATAGTTTTAAAATTTACTTAATTATTATTTTTTATATTTTGCATTATTTGATTAGGAAACGTAGCAAGCACATTTTATTACATGTTTTTTTCCATTTTTACTTGTTATTGTTTTCATATTTAGTTTTATTCTTTATTAGTCGCATGTTTCACAGATTTCACTAAATGTCTCCGTGTTGTCATTTAATTCTTTTTTTTTTCTGATTTTGATCACAAAAATGACAGGTTAAGTATATGAAAAACAAAAAGGTCATCAGAAAACTTTAAATGCCTTTAATTTTTGGTAAATGTATAGTGGGTTGGGTTGGGTTGGAAGAGCACCCTTGGCTGAAACACCGCCCACTTATAAATAAAGACGAAAAATAAATAAAAAACATTCATAAATTAAAACCTACGGACCACCGGATTTAGTCGGAACTGATTAAATTCGGCTATTTTTTTGGTTCAAAAAGGACAGACCGATTACACATAGATTATAATAGAGGGGCTGAACCCGATTCTGAACAAAACAAAAAATGAAAGTTTTGCACAATGCCAAATACGATTTTTGAAATAATTTGTATAAAAAAATCATAACAAAGGTAATTATTTTTTATGTCTACCGAACTTCCTAAGGCCACAATTGCAAAACAGTTAAATTTCTACAAACAAATGTAGGTAATTAATTTAAATGCTAATTTGGCGACAAAATAAAAGAAATTCTCATCAACCATTTTTACGTAGACAAAAATTTTTGTCCATGACTGATTTTTGCTAAATTCTATGTTTCTCGCAAATGTGTTACTGCCATGTGGTTTTTTTAAAATTTGATTTCTTAATAAACAAGAAGAAATGATGCGCATATACCTAATGAAGAACGAGTACAATATAAAATACAATCATAACATACCTTCTTGCAAAACGGTGTCATTCAGCGGTAGAATAAAAGTAGGCGCTTCCCACACACCGGAACCATCAATTGTCGTCGTCGAACTGATAGTCTCCACGACTGGCGTCTGGTGCGCTACTTTGGTAACCTTCACAACTTCAATTGTTTGGGTCATCACCTCCTGTACGTTGTCCGTTACATCGACCGATTTGACGGGAATTTCGACTTGTGTAATTGTGACCTCTTTCGGTTTTTCTAATTCTAAAATCCTCATTTTTTGCGCGAGCAGTTCTTCTTGGGCCAATCGTCTAGTCTCCTCCTCGACTAATCTTTGCGTCTCGGCTACCCTTCTCGCTTCCTCCGCCGCTAATCTTCTCGCCTCGAGTTCGGCTAACCTCCGCGTCTCTTCCTCGGCCAACCTTTTGGCTTCGGCCAATTTTTGTGCTTCAATTGCGGCTAACCGTTTCGCTTCTTCTTCCGCTAATCGTCGCGCTTCTAGTTCGGCCAACCTTTGCGCTTCGGCAATTCTCATCGCTTCCTCTGCGGCTAATCGTCTGGCTTCGAGTTCTGCTATCCTCTTCGCCTCTGCTTCGGCTAACCGTTTCGCTGCTTCTTCAGCTAATCGTCGCGCTTCCAGCTCGGCCCTACTCTGCGCTTCAACAATTCTCATCGCTTCTTCTGCGGCTAGCCGTCTGGCTTCGAGTTCCGCGATTCTCTTCGTCTCCGCCTCGGCCAATCGCTTCGCTTCGGCTTCCGCCAACTTCCTCATCTGTTCTTCGGCTAACCTCCTCGCTTCTGCCTCGGCAGCACGCCTCGCTTCTTCATCTGCAATTCGCCTGGCCTCCGCTTCGGCCACTCTCCGCGCGTTCTCGGCGGCCTCGGCTGCCGCCCGCGCAATTTCGGCTTCGGCCTTCGCCGCCGCCAGTAACGCATCCGCGTGCTCTTGTTCGACTCTAGCCCTTTCTTTCTCCTCATCGGCCGCTCTCAGATTCACAATCAGAGATTGTAGCTCTCTGCTAATCGAAGTAAACGACTCCAACATTTCCTCATTGTGGATGACAACCTGCGACGACCTCGAGGTGATCTGAGGTTCGTACAGTTCCGACGCGAGAGACGTTATCGTCGCAATTCTCTCGGCTTGCTTCGCCTCGCCCGGTTTCAAAAACTGCTCAATTTCGTTGAGGAGCATTTGCGCTTCTTCTGGTTTTCGTACTGCTGTAGACCTCCGCGCGATGGACACTAAGATGTGGCTACCTTCCTTAAACCAATCCATCGCCTGGAAAACTGAAGTGAACGGAGGAAGCCATCTAAGTGTACTTACCTCGTCAACTATCGTGAAGTATCGTATGCTGAGGTTAATGAGGCGACGGGAGTCATCAATTTGTTTCTTCAGGGCGTTCCATCGCTCTTGTAACTCGCCCAGTTGGAAATCAATGTGGGGCGAGTGAATGTGACCATCTTCAATTAGCTTCCTTCCTTCTTTGATGAAGGTATCAATTCGTTGGTTCAGCACCTGTAAAATTCGATTAGGGTTTGTTCAACAGTCATAATCAATCTTACCTCGGCCGTCTTCTCAAAGTAACCAAATGCTTGGGAGGTTGCTTTGGCTGCCGAAAGAGATTCGCCATACTGACCCCTAAGCTCCTTCAGCTGATGGCTTAACTCATTGATGGCTTCGTTAATATGATTCAAGTCTGTGTTAAACTGGCAGTAGCGTCGGTGAGCTTCGAGCATGCTGCTTCTCTTGCCGTACATCTCCTCCCAGTTGTTCTTGCGAATTGCGATTTGATGTTGGAGTTTCGAAATGTCGTGCTCCGCTGCGCCTTCGGGTTCCTACAAGCTCGAGGGTGGGGAAAATCTGAAGTCACGTGTAATTAATTACCTGTTTGTTGATTTTGGAGACGAGCTTATCGCAATCGTTTTGGGCATACTTAAACATTTCTAAGATTGCCAGTCGGGAGCCCTCCTGTTCCAGGATGACCGTGTCGACCTCCCCCATGTCCCCTGACAGGGGCTTGGTAAAGCACTGCGAGTTGAGGTCTTCCACCGTTCTATCCATATCAGCCAAATTGTTGAAGTAAGTCATGAGCATTTGCAGTAAAATTTGGTAATCGGTCGTAACTTCGGCCAACTTCTGGTTAAGCTCTAGCAGCTTATTCTTCACGTTGAGCGTCGACTCGTCAACTACCGTTGCTTTGGTGATCAGCGATTCGACCGCCTTTATTCTTTGTTCCACCTCATTCTGGGCCCTTTTCACCTCCGGGTAGACTGTCTTCAGTTTGTACTCCAGAAATTCACTTACAGCTTCTGGTTTCGACGCTTCCGTGGTAATTACGGGATACAGTTGCGAATCTAACTTCGTTATCCAATTTATCGTCTGTAATTTTAGAAACTTAAAGTAAGCGAATTGGTAAATAGAGAGGAACGCAACAGCGCACGTGTCACATTCTTTTGATCTAAAAATACCCTTTCGGAGTTTAAGCAAAATTGTGAGGATGCCACGTCGAAAAATTTGTTACAAAAGCGTCTTACCTTCGTACTCTCGGTCATATTTAGCTCTAATTGCATTTGAAGCTCGCGTTTTTCAACGACCGTCGTATGGAAAGTCTGCCAGTTGCGTGTAACAACCAACTGTCTCGCCGAGAGCTTCTCCAGAACGGACTCGACGCACATGCAGGCACGTTTAGTATCAAGGTAAGGCTCCGAGACCTAACGAAAATAACTCTTCAGCTGGAAACAATTAACAATTTGACGGTGCTCACCTTACTGGTCGCATTAATGAACGTAATTCCTGTATTTTTAGCCGACTGATACAGGGGTATCAGAGACTCCCATTTTTCTTCTAATTTGTTAACTTCTTCCTGGTCGATATCCGTCGGGGAGTTGTTTAATTTATGCTCGAGTTTGTCAATTTCCCTATTAACGTAATCGGCCTCTGTGTGAAACTTGACGTAGATTGCTGAAAGGTCGAGCCGAGTTTCGAGAATGTTTTTCAGCTTCAGCCAGAGCTGGTGAAGTTCCTCGACTTTCGAGTCGACATCTCGACGCTGATTGTCTTCTAAGTATTCTAACACCGGTGGTAATGTGAGTAGCAGCGCGTTTATTTCGTTTCCTTTCGTCTAAAAATACAATTGTGGGTAAATTAGAGAAAGAAAGTTCAACCGGATGACAACATATAACGATTAGCTATTTATACGGGATTAGGAAAATAAACATAAAAAGTCGTTCCGATTCTACCACCCCTTCGTAGCCTTTAGAAACATTTCAAAATTAATTTGTTGACTGCAATTTTCAAGCTAAATACAATGGAAGGGATGATTTTTCTCGTTGTAATATTTGATACGTGTGATACCAAAACACCCTACGACCTGCTCGCCCCAAGGTCCAAGAATCAAAACTCAACAATTTAGGGTTTTGAAGTAAAGATTCAGCATTCAAGATATATAAGCGCCAAGACTCACAGATCAAGATTTAAAAGTCATGATTCAATAGTAAAAATCCAAAGATCAAGATTCAAGAGTCAAGATTCACTTGCCAAGGATCATGAATTATTTGAAGAATAAGTTTGAAGAGTCGAAATTCAAGAGTAAAGGTTCAAGATGCAAGAGGAAGATTCAAAAATCCAGTTTGAATTTTAAAAGATTAAAATGTCAGGAATTATGACTGGAGATCCATCTAGTCTTAGAATTTACGATTTAACAATCAGAGAATCCACATTTGAGATACAAGATTAAAGGGCTAAGATGCAAGATTCAAAATTTAAGATTGATTCTAGTATTAAGATTCACGATTTAGAAGTCAAAAGTTCATAGTTAATATTAAATGGTTCAAGGGCCAAGATGCAAGATTCAATATCTCCAGTCTCAAAAATGACGATTCGGGAATCAAACGTCAGAATTAAAGAATGAAGATTCAAGAGTCTAGAGTCAAGGTTCAAAAGAGCCAAAATTCAAGTGCCCAAAATGGGTGTCGAAGATTCGAAGCTCAAGATCCGAGCTTCAAAATTAAGTTTCATGACTCAAGAGTTCAAATCGAATATACAAGATTCTAGGGTCAAGATTCAAAAGTCCAGATCGAGTATCCAAGATTCAAGCCTCCATCCAGACTCAAGATTTACGATTTAGATATCTCAATAGTACTGGGATTTAAGAGGATACGCACTACGCAGATTTAAAGGTTGAGATTCAAAAGAGAAAATTTAACAATCAGTTCAGATTGAAGGATAAAGCTTTCGCTCTTAAGTTGCAAGCCACGAGATACAAGATTCAAAATTGAACTGCGTCCAGAATAAATCCAAATTCAAGAGTCAAGTTGCAAAGAATCGGGATTCAAGAGTAAGTTTCAAGACTCGAGTTTCGAGAGTCAAGAGTCAAGATTTAAGTGCCAAGATACAAAGAGTCAAAGTCAAGATTAGAGTTTTAGATTTTAAAAAAACTTCAAGAACTAAGATTTCAGAGCCATCGCTCAAAAAATAAGATTCAAAAGTATCGATATACTAATCAGAGCTCACCATTCAAGATTTAATACTCATGGGCTTCAAGGCCCATGAATTCAAAATATCAAAAGGGTTGAGATTAAGTACACACACCGCAATAAAGATCTATAAAATTAAAGATACAAGATTTCAGAGCTAAGATGCAAGATTCAAAATTTAAGATTGATTCCAGTATTAAAATTCACGATTTAGAAGGCAAAAATTCAAAGTTAAGAATAAATGGTTCAAGGGCCACGATGCAAGATTCAACGTTTCCAGTCTCAAAGATGACTATTCAGGAATTAAGTCAGGATTCAAGAATCACGATACAAGAATTAATGGGCCAAGGTTAAAAAAAGGCAAGATTCAAGGGCTCAGAACGGGTATCCAAAATTCCAAGCTCAAGATCAAGATCAGAGCTTCAAAATTTAAGCTTCATGACTCAAAATTCAAGAGTTTAAATCGAATATGCAAGATTCCGGAGTCAAGATTTAAAAGCCAGATTGAATATCCGAAATTCAAGGGTCCATCCAGACTCAAGATTCAGGAATTAGGAATCAAGAGTTCAATATTCAAAACTCAATTGTAATGGGATTGAAGACTAAAGATACGCATTAAATAGGCAATATTCAAAGGTCGAGATTGGAAAGGTAAAACTCAAGAGCCCATCTCAAACAGTGCAGGTTTCCCAATTAAGATGCAAGATTAAAAATTGAAGAGTCAGCTTCAATCTAAATTCAAGAGCCAAGAGTCATGATCAAAGAGTAAGTTTGAAGACTCAAGATTCGAGAGGCTAGACTCGAGAACCAAGTCTCAAATGTCAAGACAAAAGAGTCGCGTTTCAAGAGTCAAGATTTAAGAGTCAAGATTTAAGAGTCAAGTTTTAAGAGTCAAGATTCAAGAGACAAAATTCAAGAGTCAAGATTCAAGAGCCAAGATGCAATAGTCAAGATTCAAGAGTCAAGATTCAAGAGTCAAGATTCAAGGGTCAAGATTCAAGAGTCAAGATTCAAGAGCCAAGATTCAAAGTCAATATACAAAAGTCAAGATTCAAGAATCAAGATTCAAGAGTCAAGATTCAAGAGTCAAGATTCAAGAGTCAAGATTCAAGAGTCAAGATTCAAGAGTCAAGATTCAAGAGTCAAGATTCAAGAGTCAAGGAGTCAAGATTCAAGAGTCAAGATTCAAAAAGATTCAAGATGCAAGAGTCAAGGTTCAAGAGCCAAGATTCAAAAGTCAAGATTCAAAAGTCAAGATGCAAGAGTCAAGATTCAAGAGTCAAGATTCAAGATTCAAGTCAAGATTCAAGAGTTCAATAGTCAAGATTCAAGATTCAAAATTCAAGAGTTAAGATTCAAGAGTCAAGATTCAAGAGTCAACATTCAATAGTCAAGATTCAAGATTCAAAATTCAAGAGTCAAGATTCAAAAGTCAAAATTCAAGAGTCAAAATTCAAGAGTCAAGATTCAAGAGTCAAGATTCAAGAGTCAAGATTCAAGGGTCAAGAGTCAAGATTCAAGAGTCAAGATTCAAGAGTCAAGATTCAAGAGTCAAGATTCAAGAGTCAAGATTCAAGAGTCAAGATTCAAGAGTCAAGATTCAAGAGTCAAGATTCAAGAGTCAAGATTCAAAAGTCAAGATGCAAGAGTCAAGGTTCAAGAGCCAAGATTCAAAAGTCAAGATTCAAAAGTCAAGATGCAAGAGTCAAGATTCAAGAGTCAAGATTCAAGAGTCAACATTCAATAGTCAAGATTCAAGATTCAAAATTCAAGAGTTAAGATTCAAGAGTCAAGATTCAAGAGTCAACATTCAATAGTCAAGATTCAAGATTCAAAATTCAAGAGTCAAGATTCAAAAGTCAAAATTCAAGAGTCAAAATTCAAGAGTCAAGATTCAAGAGTCAAGATTCAAGAGTCAAGATTCAAGGGTCAAGAGTCAAGATTCAAGAGTCAAGATTCAAGAGTCAAGAGTCAAGATTCAAGAGTCAAGATTCAAGAGTCAAGATTCAAGAGTCAAGATTCAAGAGTCAAGATTCAAGAGTCAAGATTCAAGAGTCAAGATTCAAGAGTCAAGATTCAAGTCAAGATTCAAGAGTCAAGATTCAAGAGTCAAGATTCAAGAGTCAAGATTCAAGAGTCAAGATTCAAGAGTCAAGATTCAAGAGTCAAGATTCAAGAGTCAAGATTCAAGAGTCAAGATCAAGATCAAGAGTCAAGATTCAAGTCAAGATTCAAGAGTCAAGATTCAAGAGTCAAGATTCAAGAGTCAAGATTCAAGAGTCAAGATTCAAGAGTCAAGATTCAAGAGTCAAGATTCAAGGGTCAAGAGTCAAGAGTCAAGATTCAGGAGTCAAGATTCAAGGGTCATGATTCAAGTGTCAAGATTGAAGAGTAAAGATCCAAGATTCGGTTCAAGATTCAAGATTCGAGGACCAAGATTCAATCGTCAAAATTAAAAAGGCAAAATTCAAAAGAACGCATTTAAGATTAAAGATTGAAAGATCAAAATGTAAAGTACAAAAATAATATTCTGAGATTAAAGATTCATCAAAATTCAATAGTAAGGATTAATAGATCAAGATTAAAGGGCCAAGTTTCAAGAGATAAGTTAAGTTTAAAGATGCAAGACTCAAGAGATAATATACAAGAGACGTGATTCAAAAGTTGACATTTAAGAGTCAAAAAAACGTTAATATTTAGATGCAAACGCCCAGATTAAATATCGAATATGCAAGACTAAAAAATTCTTAAGATTCACGATTTAAGAATCAAAGCTCAATATTCAAGAATCAATAGTAAAGGGGTTAAGGATTCTGAATTTAAAATTCAAGAATGAACATTTAATCGACAGATTCAAAGATCAAGATTCAAGAGTCAACATTCAAGAGCCAAGATTCAAAAGTTGAGATTATAGGCTTAAGATGCAACTTTCAAAATTCAAGAGCCAAGAATCAAGTGAAGGAGAATTAAGATTGCCGATTCAATATTTAATAAACTGGACTTAGATTTCGTAAAGATTCCATAGACCAGAAACGTAAGAACCGCAGAGAGTTTAAATCAAAGATTTCAGGAATATGTGACAAATTTGGGCTGAATAACTTGCGCAATCATAGAATTCAAGAAATCCGAAGAGCATAAGAAATGAAAAGTACAAGTGGTTGACGAGGAATGCGGGGGGGGGGGGGGTCTTTAGGCGTAAGCGGTGTAACCATTCGATTACGGCGTAGACAAGACTACTATCTACTATAGTTTTGGGAGCACCCCAAAAGTTGCGACTTGCTCCACCGTCAAGATCAAGGGATACGCTTCAAGAGAAAAGATTTAAGAAACAGGATTGAATTTTCATGAGTCCTGATTCAAGAGTAAAGTTTAAGACTAGTGTAGATTAAATACAAAATATTCAAATGAAAGACTCAAAGTCCATCCAGAATTCACTATTTAGGAATCAGAACTTAATAGATATTCAAGATGGGAACTTGGGATTTAAAATTAAAAAATCTTCTCGGGAACGAGAGCAAGTAAGTATAGCTAGTGAAACTTTATGTCTCTCTGTTCAGAATGGAGAGTTTGCATTAATGGACTATGTGGGGTCCAGAAGAGCCAATATTGAATTCGCTACTTGATACAAAACGCGGAGCTGGTAGATACTACTCGTATTTTGAAGACGAAAAAATGATAAGACAGTTATACGTAAAATTTCAAGAAGTCACTATTGAAGTGTATTAAAAAAATTACTGCACCTTTCTCTTCAACGCTCAAGCGAAAACTGCATTTGCAGAGACTTACTTGTAAATCGACGAGCAGATGATTATGCAAGTCCCAAAAATCTTTTGCCATCGGAAGATCGCTTCCCATATCCTGACGACCTCGCAAAAACGCCTCAGCCGCGCTCAACAGCCACGCGTACAGCTCATTCTGTTTCTCCAGGAAAGAGTTGAGCGCCTGGTTAATTCGCAGCTTTTCCTCCCTGTGCGCCGTACACAGTGCGTCTATCGCAATCTTTCTATTCTCCAACTCCTCCACCATTCTCTTCACGCCGTCCGTCCCCCGCATTTTGGCCGCGTTCAAGATCGCATATCCCTCTTCTATAGGAGAGGAGGTGATCTCCTCAACGGTACGGGCGCACTGTTCGTGTAGTTGGGCGAGTTGGGGAGAGGTCGACGGCAATTCGGAGGTTTTTATCTGAATTTCCAGCTGGTCTAACTTCGTCAAAGCCTAAACGTGCAAGGTTATTGCGGGCGTACTTCTAGAGCAACGTACCGTTTGCGCTTTTCTGAAGAACGCGATAACCCTCTCCAGTAACGCGCTACGTTCCTCCAACTCGGAAACGTAATCGGACGAACTGGAAAGCACGCTGTACGCATGCTCCGTTGCCTTTTCTCCAGCGAAACAGCCCGATTCCACCAACTGCTCGGTTGCCTTCGTAATTTTCAACGCTCTCTCTTGCAGTGCACTTGCTTCGGGTAGTAACTTCTTGTGTTCGTGTTGTAGTAGTTCCGCGCTGGATGACGAATCACCTGGAAGAGCGCCATTACTCATGAGTTACTCACGCGTAAATTACCTAGCTGATCCGTGTTCCTCAAAATATTCCGCTTTTCCTTCAGTGTGTCTTCAACCTCGCGCAGATCCGAGGCGAGAATTGCCAAGGCTAAGCACTGTTCCAGTTGCGCTTTTCTCTTGGAGAACGTGATTTCTATTAACTGTCGCTTCGCGTGTAGCTGATCTAACCAGTTTTGGACTTGCGAAATTGCTGCAATAAAATTACCTTTAGGTAAAAGAATACAGGTGGAGATTTAGTACTGACCTCGGTTTACCGAACATCGTATTCGATCGGGTCTCGAGTCGAGTGTGCCTTCGGCTCCTAATTCATGTAACTTTCCTAAAACTAAGTTTCCCATCTTTAACGCGCTCATCAGAGATTCCAGCAGGGATCTTCGCAGATCGTGAATGTTGGTTAAATACTGTTTAATTGATTCGACCTGTATGGGTACAACGCTATCGGCGCAAGCCGATTCGAGTGAGTTTACTATGCTAAAGAATTCGTCCGCCTTCGTGTGGTATTGCACGTGTAGATCTAAAACTTGCTTGCGAAGTTCCAGGTGGGAGTTTATGTCTTTCCAGGCTTTTCCCAGAGATTCTGCCATCGCCGCGTATACTTCGGCCCGAGGTTTTTGGGTCGATATGAGTTGGTCGGCTTGCCGCAGCAGCTCTTCGACGGGACTTTGCTTGTTCTGAAAATAAAAAAAGAGTTTTTATATTACGGAATAATTGGGAATATGGCGTAATACTACGATAACAGACACCTACATATTTGTTCAGAGCCCCAGTGCCATGTAATTGGAATTTTTATTCTGTATGGTTTCTGGTTAAATAAATAAATAAATAAATACAATTTTGACTTGAAGATGTGCTAAGCTCACAAACCAACTCATACATTTAAAGATACTTCCATTAGACGCTTAACTGTCACAGTCACCGATAACACACGTAAGTTTTGTAATGAATTTAGCAGTTTTCCAGCCGTTCTGGTAGGAATATTTAAATGGTTTTTGAAGGCGCCGAAAGCTAGTGTAACTGGGAAGATGACGACGAATTAATACTTTGAGATTTCAGCGCCGTTAATAATTATTAAGCATTTTAGTTTCCAGGAATAAACGAAAACCAGCATAGAAACGAGTTCCAAATCGAGGTGTTTACACGTTATCAGTCTTGCATGTGTGTAGATAACGACAACAGTCGGTGTGCCGGGAAAATACCAATTAGACCTCGTTGTTAATTGAATTAAGGAGTATGGAAGTTTGAACGCGCTTAATTGGGTAAACCTAATTAATGAGTAATGACTGAAGTAGTAATGAGTTGCAGGGAACATTATCTAAAATTCTAAAACGATCATGAAAGGTGTCTCCGGATGCAATGTAGTTTTTTCAGAAGGTTTGTAGGTTGTTCTATATTTTTCCAATAACTGCAGGTCGAGTAATTAATTAAAAACAGAATTAGTTTGGTTGACTTTTATACTAAATACAGGGAAGAGCCAGATTTCTTTATAAGATAAACGCTTGATCTTGTGGGGATCTTTTGCATTTTTACTTTCGCAAATAAGTGTTGTAAGTACCGAAATTTTAACTTTACTTTGCAACCGTAACGTATTTAGATCTTATACTTTTGCATTTTTGCCTATTATATTTTTAAGCACCATATTAATCTCTAGCATTGCCGTAAATTCATTAGGCAGCCGCTGTTTTATTCTGCTTTGTGCATTAAGTTACCCGTATTCATTGGAATTGTTTTTAGCAGTCTTTTTCTAACGCTCCGTTAGTCGCATGGTGAACTTTACATTACTTTCCGTTTCACTAATTATAAAGGAGGGGGGGGGGGCAATTATTGTTCGGTTTCCTGCAATTGCTTCTCCGCCCCTTCTGCCGATTTGTGCGGTGTTGCTTTGCCCCCGCCAGCGATTCTGCCGTAATTTTGTTTTAGTTTTGCCCAAGGGCTACCGAGACCGACCCGCAGACCGCTGCTTACCGCCGATCTCGACCAGGCGCAAGATTTTCGCTTGGTGGCGCCCGAGTCCGTCCGTTCATCCCGTCCAGTCGTTTCCTGCCGTTTTGCCGCCGTCTTCCCCCGATAGAACTGGTTGCCGCTGACTACCGTTGCTGAGCTGTATTACTTCAACTTTTATTTATTTATATTTATTTTGATTTGAATTAAATTATTATTCCGCTAATATTTCTTCAATTTTTGCTAGCGACCGCCGATTAATATCAAACGCCTTTTCTGTATCAGCCGGCGACTAGCATCAATCACCTCATCACTCGAAAGGGAAGGGACATTTTTCGCTACTTCCATAGACCGCCTCTTTGTTAGCGACCGCCGATTAACTTCGAACGCATTTTCTATATCACCCGGTGACTACCATCGACCGTCTCATCACTCGAAAGGAAAAGAGACATCTTTCGCATCTTCCATAGACTTACTCCTTGTTAGCGACCGTCGATTAACTTTAAACGCCTTTTCTATATCAGCCGGCGACTAACATCGACCGCCTCATCACTCGAAAGGGGAAGAGACATCTTTCGTATCTTCCATAGACCACCTCTTCGTTAGCGACCGCCGATTAATTTCTGTCTTTTCTATATCAACCGGTGACTACCATCGACCGCCACATCATTTGAAAGGGAAGTGGATATCTTAATGTACACATGAATTATGTAAAACATGTAGATAACTACTATACATAATTTTTTAACATTTATTAGATAGTGGAAAAATAAAATAACCTTTTAAGAAATTGAATTGAATGTTGGTCACAATGGGTGCGGTCAGCGGAAAACAGCATAATAATTCCCGCTAAATAAATTGCGCAACCGTTCGGCGGATTTGCTGCGTGAAAACCTTATCCGCTGACTGCTGCTGATCTCGCCCAATCTTCCCAACTTAAAAGTAATCATGAAATGTAATAAGTAACATAATCTCACATTTCGACGAAATTACGTGAACTTTGTATTAAGATTGTGGAAAATTTAGGGCTTCTCCCGCACATTTTTTTGTTGAAAACGCCATGGTGCCATTTCTGCCAATTTCATGATCCTACTTCGGTGGCTTAAAAACGTCACGTAACCTACGAGAGTTCTTTTGGTCTGTCTTGGAAATTTATCACGTTGGAATCAAGCACAAAACAGCACTAACTTAGCACTAATAATCACATGTGGTTTCATCTAATTAAAAAGGTATGGGCGGGGCTAACTTCCCACATGACTTTTTTAACAGCGAAAGAATTTGAGATACTGTTTATTTGGCATTTAATAGCAGTGCACTAATACCGTGTGTGCTCATTATTTCGAATTGAGTGTGAAGTTGATCCCGTCTCGTTTTTTTATTTCTAGCGCATTTTTTAAGAATTAAAAAAATGTGCTATTGTTTGCGCTTTGCCCGTCCCTCCGTCCGGACCCACTTCTACCGTTTTGAACTACTTTTAATAATTTTTACATACGACAACCAATTGGTCTCAGATTTTGCATACGCATGCCTTTAGTAGTGCCAAGTTAAACTTTAGAAAATGAGCGGGCGGGGGGGGTAAACACATGCTCTATCGAAATAAATTTGTTTGTACAAACTATAACTTTCCCGTGCGACTCTTTTTCGAGATCAGTGAGCGACGGGGCCAGAGGGAGGGGGGAGGAGGGTTAAAAATCAATTTTATCTTTCATTGTATTCTAATTAAAGGTCTCAACGAAGGGAACAGTTTTCTACTGCCCTTCTTTCTGTCCTCTTATCAAAGTACGGGGTGGAGGAGGAAGGGGGGGGGGGAGTGGAACTAGTTTTATCCTTCATGGTACTCTAATGAAAGGTCTCAACGAAAAGAAATTTATTAATTTATACTAACCATAGTCTTCCTCCTCGATCCCTTGTCGTGATCGGTTATAATTCCTTATATCTTAAGAGTGAATTGTCAAAGAAAAGTACCTACAAAGGGCGATTGGGACGTTTGGAAGAAATATAACCATTGGGCATTTAAACAAAATTTGATACATAGCCACTTGGAATAAAAGAAAATGTAGCGCCATTTTCTAAATTTGTTTTGCGCATGCGCAGTGTCAACTTTCTTATTTATGGAGGCATTTAAATAAAAGTTGTTACATACCCACTTGGAATAAAAGCAAATAAAACGCCAGTTTCAAAATTTGGTTTTGCGCATGCGCAGTGCCAACTTTCTTATTTATGGAAGAAATTTCGTAGGGGTGTTTAAAAAAAATGCGCTTAACCTGCACAGGGGTTGTGCACAATTTGTACTTGTTTTCTGATATTATGTAGCAGCACTAACGATATGCTTCGAGCACTGAAAAGCACTAACGACACATTTTTGTCAAATTATTTCATATGGACGGGGCCAACTTCACATGGGTAAACCAAACTGGGGCGATAGTTTATTGGTGCCACTTTAATTGCCACAAATGGTAGTCGCGCATAGAAAGGGCGATTCTTTTAGGAGCGAATAGTCCGGAGAAGAGATTTTTGATGGAACTAAATCATTCCGCCCTTTCGAGGACGAAAATATTCCGGGGGCGAATTTACCGCACGTGGTTTAAAAGTCCAGTGTATCGGGTTTATAAAAGCCACAAGAAGACACCGAACAAACCAATACAGGGAAAGATAACATAGGAGGATTTTAAACTGTACAAATGTTTTTAGGACACCTACAACTACGGCTGCAACTCTTAAACTCTCCACTGATCCTTCGAAAGTCTAGCCCACTCAAGATCACACTCTTACATGAGAAATATAGGGCTTCCTGCTAAAGCTTTATGGCTCAGTGGTAGAGCGTTGGGCTATAAATCCGGAGGTCGGGTGTTCGAACCTGGGTTGAGGTGAATTTTTCATCTGTAGCAGAGATGGGAATTACCTTAGACCAGTCTCGAGCATTCTGCCGGCTACTCCGAATTAGGTTTTCATAATTAGTAAGGTAAATACCGGAGTAGTATAGAACAACGCAGAGGCACCTCTAAAAAGCATTATGCCTGTTGAAGCCTGAGGGCCCAGAACAAGAGAGGGATAATAAATAAATAAATCATAGAAATCAATCAAGGACAGTCTTTTAGTTTGTGGATAGTGTTTTGTCTTCAGATTCTTTAATGACCAGTGATTGAAACGGTTTTTTTACAGCGGATTTTGTACTTTTTCTAGCCAATTTGAAATAATTTGGTATAATAGTCGCAAAGCACTTTTTTACGATATAGACTGCCGAGTGCCGTGCCTTGGATAAACATTGTCCTGATCATTTTCACTGTCCACTTAGTATTTAAGTAACTGTTTACCAACCGTAGACAAATAACCTACCCCGATCTAAAAATCGTCCGGACATTATTGTCTATAAAAATTACGGAGGTACCTACCTACGGTAACTTTAGTTGAGTGTTATGTCTAGCTCTAGCAAGAGACACTGTTCCTTGTGAACCAACAGATCCCCATCTACTTACGTATGTTCTTGTTTATTTATACAAACGGGGGTTTACTTAGATATTCCAATATAAAATACATTTACGCTCCCACCGATTTCTGTGGTTTCTCATTCCCGAAATAGCTAGGCCGCATCCCGACCGCGAACATTAATCAGCTGCCCCAAGTATTCATTTTTACTATACTCGATTTTAGAGAAAAAATTTACTAAAAAACCACAGATTAAATCATTGTTATTTATAACATAGGCTTTGATGTTCGACAGAAATAGCCTTCACGGTATTAAAATTTGAATCGTGAACTACTTTCCTGAATTTCTCATTGGATCTTACTTGCTTATAGTTATTTCAAGAACTGCAGTTTAAAATTTGTAGTACCTACTTACGGATGGAATAAGTGTAACAGTTATTTTTCCGTTTCGTAAGTTCGATGAACCTCTACAATTACTACAATTATGATAAAAAGTAGTAATCATTGAATTGAAATATGGTACACGTGTTGGAATCAAAGAGCTCTTGTTCAAAACGCTTCATATGCTTAGGCTGTCATTATTTAGGTGTGATTTTCTAATGTATGATTTTCATACGATTTGCTACACACTATTTAAACTGGAACCAAAAAAGCCACCTCGATAATTTTAAGACTAACGAAGTTACCCAATCTGACCAGATCCTTCTTCATCTGTGTGATTTTGATTCGTTTAGATTCTGAAATTCTCTTGTTGAAAGCATGGCAATTGGCATCTTCATCCGACTGTTTCATTACCGTTTCACAAAAGAAGGTTTATCGATTACAGTTTGAATTTCATGCATGCCCCAATTAACCGTTTCTTCCGCGGGCAAAGCACCTAATTCGTTAAGAGTTTACAACGCCATCTGATCTGATCTGTATTAATTATGTCACCTGTATCCCATTTTCATAAAATAAGTATTTCCTTGATGAGTTAGTTTGTGAGGACCGGTCGAGACCGTGAGGTGAGATTGCTATTCCCTCCACATTCACTGGTAATTTGGAGGAAAAAAAACCGTCGCGAATGCAGCTACATGCGTGCCTCCCGAACAACCCTTATAACATAGTAACGTCAAATACAGCAATTAGGACAGAGTTTTGTAAATTGGTTATATTTTGTGTCAGGAAATTCGCCTTGAGTCGCAAGCGAAGTCAGGTGAAGCACCTGTAAATTAGCGCAGGGGTTTTATTTTGTACAATAGCGTTAGTTAGTTTTAAACGCGCGAAATTAAATTTTGTGACCCTGAAAACTAACTAACGCTATTGTACAAAATAAAACCCCTGCGCTAATTTACAGGTGCTTCACCTGACTTCGCTTGCGGCTCAAGGCGAATTTCCTGACACAAAATATAACCAGGAACCTAACGCCTAACTTGAACCGCCCGTAAATTTTAAACTGCCAATCACAGGTGCCATTCATTATACGAGACCTAGGAATTTGCATTAATTTTCCTTTTCAAGAGTTAGATCCATCGTTTGGACAATCGATATTTCGATATTGAATGGTCAAGGGGTATCACCACCATCCCCAGCTTGGTTCAAATTATTATTAAGATTGTGAATCAATTGATTTACAGATCCAATATTGTGTGCGAAATAATTCCTCTATTTCATGTGGTTTAAAAATGCTTTTATGTTCAGTAGTTCGACGACGTGCCTGTGTGGTGGCAATATTATTCGTTCTGATTGAACGGTAGCAGTGACCAGTGTAATCTTCCCCCGACTATGATTATCTTTATGAAGATTTAGCAGTCATTTTCGTTATGGAAGGGGAAACGAGCAATTCTGTACCTTTGACTGTTATATAATGGCAGGTGAGGTTCGTGAGTTCTTCTGACGCTGGAAAATCTTACACACCGCCATTTCGTTCAGTCTCTTAGTTTGATTGAGTCCAAACCGTATTTCAAATGATCAAATGGAAGTATACGGGATGATTCTAAATCCCGTTACGAGTATCTGGAGTAATTAATGCAAACACTGCTCCAATTCTGCTTCTGAAACCCGGTGTATATTTAAATGATCCTTGGGCCATGCGAAACAATCATCCCGTTAATAAAAATATTACAAAACTGGATATTCATTTAAAAACACCAGAGACTCATTTTTTTAATGATTTAGAGTATTTAGACCTTCTGTCAGCTATTTTTCTTAAATTTTTTGGTTGTGTTCCGTGGACGAGTGACCCTTAAATACTGTCCTGACTTTGTAAATGCGTGTGGAAGTTTGGGGCACCAGTGCGTCGTGGGACTTGACGCGATTAGTTCAGATTACAAAAGAATATTTTGTTTATTTTATAGTCGTAGTTATCAAGCCTGTTGCATAGCGGGGGTTCTGCAAACTCAGCCGGATTTCGCTTCACGTTAGGTAGATTGAACGGAAAAATTAGTTTTTATTGGCGGAAAAAGTTTGCATGCCAAAATAGAGCCACTAAAAAATAAAAAATAGTGGAAAGTTGGTTGTTCGTGTCGAACCATCAGGTAGTGTGCATTCAACCGTAAGCGAAGTTAGGTCATCCATTTGTAAATTACGGCAGTCTAGTTTTTATAGTTTGTGACTTTGTGTTGGAATTTGCGTCGAAGCGCGAGGAAAAATTAAGGCGAAGCCGTGAGCGACCTTAAGTCAGCCATCGGGAATGTATCGCAGGGCCCAGCTAACGCTTTCGCGGTCTACCTCTGACTGCTCTAGACGCGTCCCCACTCTTATAATTTTACAAATACGCCTTCAAAATGGATGCCAATCGGTTTCAGAGACTTTGATCTTGATTCGTTCTGCCCATAGACTTCATCTCCTTTCACCAATCCTATGTCTAGAAAAGCAATTCCAGAAATATTGTCCAGAACCCTCAGCATTAGCAGTTCTCTGGCTGCGTCGCGAAACCCAAAACGGTCACATACAACCCATTAACTCTGCTTATCTCGCGACAGACCGGCGCTACAAACTTTTTCGTACGTAATTAATCGGACAGTGCCGTGTTCGGAAACCATTACCCCAAAAAACAATAGACCGACAAAAGCTTGGCGAAACCTACCCTATACTGAAACCATCCTCTCTATTTTATACTTAATATCAAAAAACATGCAACCCTGGAGAAACACAACTTAAACCCTTAATTTGAGAAAACGGCTATCAAATCTAATCAAAATTGGACCCACACACATCGTGTTCTAATTACTATGTACAAAAAATTAAAAAAAACTAATATGCACCAGCGGACTTTCGTTACATTTGACTAAATTACTGTTATTACCAGGATTTTCAATGGGACGCAGAAGGCAAACTCGCGTTACTTCCTTATAGCATAATATAACACAAACTATGCTTATAGCTTTGGCTGGGCGTATTTCCTTTTCAAGTGCCTAATTTGACATGTTTGTCGCATTCATAACCAAAAAACAAAAAGAAAGAAGTAAGTGAGAAGGCTACAACCTCAAAGTAAGTAGAATATGGTTCCATTTGTAAAGGGAGGAATAAACAATTATTTCCTTTTCGTTGAAAGCATCTCAAAATTTTGTTTTGAGATTAATCATTGCCCAAAATCGAGCCCGACGCATTTGTAACGTAAACAAAATGTCGAGTGTATCCGCAATATACACTGTGTTCAGTATAAGGATGTTTATCAGGGGAATCTCCGAAACCATAGAAGATATCACGATGACCAAATTAGAGAAAAGAGTGTTATGATCATGCAGAAAACCAGAAAATTCCGTTCAGTCCCGAAAATATTTCAGAAAATCAGAAATTTGCCGATTTTGTTTCTGATGTCATTTGAGCAGATACAGAAAAATAAAAAACACTTTTTCATTGCCACTTTTTGAGCTCTACAAGACAGCCTTTTTAATAAAAGGTTTTGTTTCGAAGAAATCATCAACTTTATTTTTTATATGGCCCGTAAGAAAACCTACATACTGTATTGAGTAGCATATTTTATTACGAATACCACGATCTACGGCACACAAAAAATAACAATAATTGGAAACTGTTGGTTTCAACAGGATAGTGCACGCACATATAAGGACCTAATCATGCGAGAATACAATTCGGAAAAATTTTCCATTTTCCAGGAAGTTTGTTCGATAGATATTCGCACACATTAAGGTGTTGTGGTGAGTGCACCATTCTGTTGAAACCACCAGAATTTCCAACTTTTGTTTTCTTGTGTGTCGTATGCCGTTACATTCGTAATAAAAAATGCTACTGCTAAGTGTGTACTTTTTTTACGGGCCACATAAAAAATAAATTGGTAATGATTTCTCCGAAACGAAACGTCGTATTAAAAATCTCTCAACGGTATCTTGTAAATTTCAAAAAATGGCAATGAGAAGGTGTTTTTTTCTGTATCTGCTTAAATAACGTCAAACGAGCGGACGGACGGACGGACGGACAAAGTGGCCACAATAGCGCACTTTTTTTATTTTTGTGGAAATGCGCTAAAAATAATAAAACTGGAATCGGCAAATTTCGGTGTTTCTAGCATATCTTCGGAAGTAGGTAATCCGAAATTTGTGGTTTTCTTTAAAGCATGATAATAAGTTTTTAATTTTCCCTAATTTAACCATGGTCGTATCGTCTATGGTTTCGCAGCTCTCCATGATAGACATCTTTATCTTGGACACTGTACACTCACGTCAGGTCTGACTCACACAAGTCAGGATTCAGTTACAGTTAGTTGTTTTAGTGTTTTTAAATGCTATTGTCGACTATTATTCAAATAAATATAAATAAATTAATTTAAAACAATTCTATAATTACCTGTAACTGGTGCAGAACTTCATCGTGTGCCTGTTGCAATTCCACCGCTTCTGCTAAATTATTCCCAAGTGCGGTTAGTTCTGGACTAACTTCTAAAATTTTTAGTTGTAGCCAATCTCCACACTGCAAAGAAAAAGAAACGTTAATAGTGTGTGCATAAGACTTATTTATCGGTTAAATCGCCGCGCAATGCAACAAAGTAGTCTGGCGCAACCACCCGTAACTAACTGCGCTATCATGGTAAAAGTACTATAATGCACTTGCAAGTTTAATTTATGTACATCCGCTTTCTTTTGGATTGTGTATTTTTTTCCGTTTCGTGATGAAATGAGATTCCAAAAAATAGTTGTTGCCATTGAGATGCAACGAAACGTGAAGGTTATTCGACCAATTGCTATTCTATGTTTCTAAAGGTTTTGTCGAGGGTTTTGTGAAAATACAACCGAAATAAATGAATGAAATTAATTTAGTTGGACTAGAAAATTGTGTTAAGCCACTGTAGGCTGCAGATGTGTAATTACAAATTACCCGAAAATTTATGCATAAATGCGGTCAATGAAAAAAATCACTAATAGACCGATTTGTTGAATAAAAAACAGCCTGTTTACTTTAATCTATATTTTAAATGTTTGCATTTTGCAAATTTTAGTGCTCAGGCATCTGTGCTAACTTCCTAGACTTCCTAGAGCATTTGGCCTAAATAAATTGATGGTAAGGTAACGTTAACGAGGGAAACGTTGACTAAAATAGTAGGTATTGCCGACAAGAAAGTACTTAACAAACGTCAACGGGCGGTGGATATGCGGAGGTTGTTAAATATGCAATCAATTACATCTGTTCGAATTCCCACCTGCAGCATTCGACTCGTTTAAATGAAAAATTTTCGCATCATAAAATGAAAGTGGAAGCAGTCAAATTAAACGTTAACGCCATTTTTCTTGGGTATTTTAATACCTTTACGGTTTCCCGTTGCGCAACTTCGCGGATCAATTTAAAAAGATGTAAGTTATCTCATGGTTTATCAAATTACCTAGGCACCTATCGATATAATGCAATGTCAGCGTGATTGATTGGAATGGTAACAACATGCCCGAGGTGCTCAGCTAGAATTTCTTTCACCTTGACTAACCACTACAATATGTTTTTAGTGTTTTGCAAAATTACTCCATTTACCCCAAACCGAAAATATACCATTAAATAAATTTTCTCTATCAAAATGCTCACCTAGAAAATGGAAAATTTGCCCAATAGCTATTCTCACACGATTAGAGCGTTGTGCGCGGGTGCACCATCCTGTTGAAACCAATAGAATTTCCAACTTTTGATTTTTTGTGCTGCACATCGTTGTATTCGTAATAAAGAATGCTACTTTTTGCAGGCCATATAAAAAAATAAAGTTCATGACAATTTTCCGAAACGAAAGGTTGTATTGAAAATCTCTTAACGGTGTACCTACAGTGGTAATGAAAAAGTTCAAATAACATCGGAAAAAAATCGGCAAATTGCGCTTTGTCTGGAATGTCTTCGGAAGTAATCGGAATTTTCCGTATCTTATAACAAATAAACGAAGACGAAGAAGGTAGAAAAACTAGGCGCTATCACAAGCAAACGAAGATAAAGAGAGAGATTTGTCTTTGTGTATATTTTTACCCATGTAAGGGCGGGAAGGAATAACCCTACCGTAGAGGGCACTGCGCGTTGTGCGACTAAGCAACGGCAATAAGTCAACCGCAGCACCAACTATGGAGTTTGGAGACCGAGGGTAGCTTGCTTGGTTTCATAAGATTCTACCGATTTTATGATATTTGGGGTTTTAACGTAGTAGGCCACCAGGAATACCGAAGATTCTACCACCGAAGCCAAGGTAGGGATTTAAAGATTCAGATAGTGCAGGATAGATGATAAATTTTATTATGACAGGAGATATCAGTTTTAGGTTCCTTCTATAGGGCCTTCAGACCGCGCCGCTTCTCGGTAATCAGGGTAACATTAGGGTCATTTCTTCCCCCGTTTAAAGTTCAGGACTTATTGCCTGGGTATCTCAGGACTTATGGCCTGGGTATCTAGTACACTGGGAACCCTACGTACAGTTTTTTGGTTGCAGCGTCAAAGTTGGGTTCTTTCCAAAGTGTAGAGGGTGGGCTCATTAGAAGACAGATTTATTCAAAATGTTGCTGTTGAAAATTTTGGGTGAACGCTTTAGGATTATGTAATTGCATGCAGAAGCGCCAACTTGTCGCCCTATAAGACAAAATCAATGGGATGTACAGTACATACGTGACCATATGGCGCAATCAGATCCGTCATTATTTGGGGCATCGAAATTGCCAAGTTAAATGTTTCTGGCAAGCTCGAAGTGCCTGGAAAACTCTACGTGTGTGACAAAACTGTGTTTCAGGAAATATGGTTGGTGCGAGGGTTGGTGCAAAGCCTGGTGCAAAGAAATATTGGTAGAGCAGATTCGAAGTCATAGTCGGGCGTTGAGGATAGTGGAGGACTAAACCTCGAGAGGGAACCGTACAGCATTACGAGTTAGACCATGCGAACATCGTGTTGTGAATCAGTTAAGAAACAAAGAAAAACTTCAGTGAGACGGTAACACGCGCGTCGGCAATGAGAAAATGTCTAAATCAATCGCTCCGTGAGTTTTTTTGCATGGTATAATTGAATCGGAGTGAGAAGTTCAAGTAGCTGAAAGAATTAAATTGCAAACTGCAACAGGTGTCACAGTGTAGAGCAAGAGAAAATTCGGTTAAGCCGGGAAGAATATTTTTCAATAGCTGGTGAATTACCCAGGGTGCTTTTTTGTCGGGCGACTGCCCTTCAAGAAAATCATTCCATGTATAGGTGGTCGCTTTACGCTTTAAACATTTTTTGTTAACTTTACAAATTTACCGGTATCGGAAATTTTATAACGTGTACCGCTTCATACGGAAATCGAACGGAACTAATATGCGAGAAAATAAAGCGCGTTAAGATAGTAAACGAGTGTTCAACAGATAAAACTCAAAAAGCTACAGTGATGCTTGTTTTAAAAACTGTCGTAACGGAGATTGAGGGACGGTTCCTCTGATATATACCTTCACATTTTCGCTTCGTTGGGGCGTTTCATCATTCGAGCTCGGCGAGTACATAAGTAAAAATTGGATGGGAGAAATGCATTCTTAGCCAAACCTTCGAGACAACCTATGTAACGTGAGTGCATAAAACGAAATTCTTCCCCGAGACTTTCAAGGCGAATCATATCAGTTGTGTACGCCATTTTTGAGATCGCGTGAAATTTCAGTAGTCAAAAGTTCGAACCGAAAGCCGTCTAACCGCAGTACATATATAAAAGGATTGTTAGCCGCGCAACCGGAAAACTGTGCAATCGTTTTGGACGAATTTATTGGCGTGACTGCTTTTATCAATATTTCGATCAAAACTAATAATAAAAAACGTTTTTTATGCAACAAGGGAACTGCGTTGTGTAGTGAAAACTAATGGACGAAGGATTTATGTTTAACTGTAAATACCGTGCGAATATGTTCTTTCTGAATACGTACGTGAATGCTCGCATTTCCATAAAAATTTACCACGAGAGCGTTGGGGTCCAAGGTGCAAAACTTCTATTGCGGATATATTTTCAGTGATTAGACGATTAAATAACAAGTTTGTCAATCAAAACTGTCCACCTCTCTTGTGAATTACCTGTCCGACCGGGTGTAATTAGATCTAAATTAAACGCCAACCGGTAAAAAGGTTAAAGACAATTAATTCGTGGTTTTGTTGGCTGTCAAATTCCCAAGTTATAAGGGTAATTTTGGACATTTCGGCGCAATTTGTACCATTTTTTTAAATTTCCAAGAAATAAACAAGCTGCTTAGAAGAACGGGAGTTTCCACCCATCGATTTTTTATTGTTCGGCGACCTTTTCAAAAGAAGCTAGCAAAATAGCCCGTATTCGAGTCACATGCCCAGGGATTTCGCTGTCGTGTGTTACCACCAATAACAACAAGGTACACGTTTTTTTTTGTATTTAATTCATTATCGTGCACAACTTCACTCGATAAAACTGAAGGACAAAGATCGAAGAAACCCAGGAAGTCGAAGAATGCAATATAGTCAGGAATCGGGAATGCTTACTATGTCGAAGAAAGCAAGGAAGGACAAAAGAGACCAAGATGGATTAGGCGCTCAGATATCCGGACAAGGCACAACCGGCCGACCACTTTTATGAAATCCGGCAACTCACAAATTTCACTTGGCAACAGCGCAAGTAGAAGGGACACCGATTGCGCATCTTTTTGATTCATCTTACTTCGAGTGGTGTTGACGTTCAGTAAAAATTCGTAGTAGCTCTTATATTATTTGGCGAGTTCAACTTTGTTTATTTAGTCATTTTGCAGTTGTATATTCGACTAGTGTGTCTTTTTCTTTACCAGGTAAAGTGTATTAATTCAATTTTACGATGTCAAATTTGTGCATTAATAAAAGTTCAAAACAAACAGAATGTGTTTTGCCATTTGGGTTATGTACTGCAAAGGTTCTTTATGTATTGGTTTAATTTTTTTGTGTAGGTACAGTGATTTTCTTGCATTTCTTTTCTTATCTTATCTATCCGCTGGTCTTGATATCGAATTTGAGTTACTACGAGGTAGGATGTTCCAAACTGAAAATCACGTTAGTCACGGCTGTTTTTGAGAAATTTGAGATATTCAAGATGGCATCCAATATGGCGGTTTTTGAACTGCCCTGACGTATTCTCCGTCTAAAATGCCCGATTTTTACACTTCAAAGGCCTGAACCCGCGTTTTTGGGGCCAAGGAATACGATGGAAGGGTCAAACATGAGGCTCGAAGTGAAAACCCGTGGTTTCTCATTTCAGCCAATATTTTGCTAAAGATTAAAAAAATGTGGTTTGTTTGCGTTTTATCCGACCGTCCGTCCGGACCAACTTCTGTGGTTTTGTACTACTTTTAGGGGAATGGTCGTAGCCTATACCTTGAAGGTGCGTCAGACGACCAAATTTCGCTGTCTCAGGGGGGGGCCCAATGAATTATTTCCCGAGATGCTGTTTTTGAACGTATACGCATGGTGCCAAGCAAAACTTTTGAAAGGGGGGAGGGGGGGGGGGGAACACA